GATATATGGTGTATATCTGCATATCCTCTACTCTGAATTATCTGGTGAATTAATTATGAATTAATTATCTGATGAACGTGACATGCTCTTGCTCTCTGTAAATAAAGCAAAGCCACTTCCTCGTCCGACATTAAACAGAGCCCGACAGAGGAGGGAGGGGCGGGGAGGCTGTTGCCGTGCAGCGCTTCAAGAGCTGTCCTGCGTCTGACCTCAAAGTGCACAAGCGTCCAACTTGAAGCGTTGGATGCGATTTTGACGCTGAAATCGCGTTCGGTGTGAACGCAGCATTAAAGTTCTGCAGAGGCTTGATAATCACCCATTCATTCAAATCAGGTGTGTGGGAGCAGAGAAACAATGAAACCATGCAGGTCAGCGGCCCTCGAGTTACACTGTTCTGCATTGATGGAGCCCTTCCACATACGTCAGCTGCCAGGAGAGCTAACGCACCCCTCATATCAGGAGGCAGGTTTTTAACCTGTGCGTTGATAACATGCTGGGTGGTCTTTGATGGAAATCTAGAAACGTATTGATGTTATTATGAACTGTAAATTATGGAACATGACGTTTTCCCAGTTTTTTCTCTTATTGAAGAATACCATTTTGAAATTTTCCACTATTTTGAGACAGTGTTTTAGACACTAGTGAACTTCTTCCTGTTTTCTTCTGAGAAATGTTTATTTTTTTACCCTTTTTAATCCTCCTATTGACCAGTGGGTATAACGATTTCTCGCAAAATTTTTGTCTATTTTGTTTACAACAAAAGCGTATTCAGAAATAAATTTGATTTAAAAAAAGAATCATTTTTTCTGATTTAAAATCCATGTTTATATTAAATGAAGTCATTGGCAGGCAGTGTTTCACAGTCCTGTCATCCCCTGGTCATCTGTATCAGGGGTCTTTAACATTTTTCTGACTGGGACCCCCAAACACATACACACAAGTCAGTACATGAAATAGTGTATACTGATACTAGTTGATGTCTGTTATAGTAGTATATGCTTTGCTGTAGAATTATTGCAAAATTTACCGCACTCAGCCAGTTACTGTGAACCTGAGAGCAAACAGGTTTGCATGACCTGCCCAGTATGGAGCGGGGGGGTCCTTCTCTTTGTGTGAAGAATACATGGACCCCAAGGGTGAAGACCTCTGATCTATATAACAGGATTTCTAACTTGACTGAAATAATTTGTCATTCAAGACAAAAAAAATTAAATTATGACCTAATCAGGGGCTGGACTGAAGTCACAAGAGGGTTGGAAGTGGCCCATGCACCACCATTTGAATAGCTCTGGTCTAATTTTTTCTTTTCAACTCATTAGAGACGTATTACTACCATAAAATTCAAAATGATCTTATTATTTTTTCCCAGTAGTTTAACAATTTGATGTGTTTACTATATGTGACCCATCTTATCTAAATGAGGATTAAGTCAAATCTGGTCAAAATGACCTAATTACATTTTCCAGGTCCAGGATTTAAAACCTGGATTTTTCTGATATCACAAGCTTATCCAGAGATATGACTTAATTTGTCTTTTTGGTTACGATGAAATATTATCGTTTGGTCTGAATCCTAATTTTATGTAAATTTGAGTAATTTTTGATGTCAATATAAAAAAGAAACCTCAAATATTATTTGTATATTAAGATTTCCCCGTTGGAAAGAAATAAAAACATTGCTAGCTCACAGGGGAACTTTCAAAATTTTAAGGCGTTTTTCCTCAAAATCAGGATTTTTGTTGCCAATGCTAAAAAAAATTCTTCAAAAATTTTTTTTGGGTTATATTTCAGACTGTTCATTCAAATGATACATTGATAAGAATTAATTCATTATATTTTCACAAAATGCAACTTTTGCACACGTTTAAATCAAACCCTATATCTGCCTGTTTCTCCATATTCCACTTTTGGACTTAATCCTCATTTTGATGTGATGGGTCACATGTTCCATTGTGAATATGGAGATTGTTCAAGTTTAAGTTGAACAATGGATGTAGTGAGGCTAAGCAGTAGATGCGTTTCTTTTGAGCAACACCTGTCAGGACTCTTTGCCATGGCGTTCTGGACCAGCAGGATTTGGTGGTACTGTTTTATATAACATACCCAGCACTCTCTCTCCAAGTCCTCCCAGCTCCACGTAGGCGTTCTGGAACGAGTCTTTCATCTCTTCATCCAGAGGTTGCTCTTTGCCCTGCACCATGATGGTGGAGCAGCGGTCCAAAATCCTCTCTGGGGCTCCTTTCATCACCAGCAGGTGCTTCGTTTCCCCGGGAGTTGTGTTCTTGTGGATGGAGAGCTGTCAGACGAGAGGAAACGAAACGGATCAGAAAGTGATGTGAATGCAAATGGAGAAATACGATAAAAACGAGATATAGCTGATGTAAATGTAAGTGCTAGACATTTAGCTTACCTGGTATTTGTTGGTGGAGTTGAATGGAATTTCAGCAACTTTGGGGTATTTTTCTCTCATGTCCTTCACCGACCCGCAGCACAGCTCGATACACTTGAGCAAGGCAGCTTCTGAGGCGTCACCCGCCACATCTCGCTGTGGGTTTTCAGAACAAAACTGAAATTTAACTGATGATGGTTTCACTCCTTTGCCTAAATAAAAACTCTTCTATTTAATTTATAGATGCCTAAAGAGTCAGTGGATCTGACGTGCCAGCTGCGTTTGTCTCAGTCATAGATTTCTGAAAACGTTTTTTTAAATTATGTTGAATGATTTTAATAAAGATTTGTTGCAGAGTCTGGCTGCATTTGAGGTTTGTTGGATCTAAAAGGCATTCCCAGTGGTGGGCAGCGCTAACCCAAAAATTAGCTCCGCAATTTCTAAAGCGCTTATGCCATAGAAAAACTAGTGGAAGCTAATTTTAAAGCGCAAGTTCAATTTTACACTCACTAGCTGGCAATAATTCATTTACAATATGTGCACAACACTGCAAAATATCGGTGTATGAACTCTTTTATAACTTAATCCTACAATGCCGATTGCTGGGGATGTGATTTCCTGTAACAGAACTTTAGCTCCTGGTGTAAAAATTAAAAAGTTGTTGAGGATTGTTAGTTTGGCCGCTTCTTTGTCTTTTTCTTTTGTTTGTTGTAGATTTTTCATTAAAGAAGCATCAATAAAGTAATTTTAAAACTGTTTACTGGAAAACTGAAGCGAAGCATTCTGGGTACATGACGGATTTGATTTGTGACGGGAAACGAAAGCACGGAGTACAAGAAACTACCTTCACTTCAAAATAAGAGCATGGTCGGATTTTAAAGTTTTCCATGTAGTTGCTCCAGTTGACCACTAAATGTCAGTCTTCATCAGCATAACATCTTTAAATCATTTCTGTGTCTCTAAACCAGTTGGCCGATTGCTTCGACCAGTCACGTCAAGTATTGAGCTCCAGTGTTTGAACTTTATTTTTTTTTAAAGGAGCTCAGATTGTAAAGTAAAATAAATCAATACATACAAAATTTTAGTATGGATTACAAACGTTGACTGTTTTTGCTGTTGCCTTCCTGTTATGTAAGCAGACACAAAGCATTGTGGGAAATCAGAACCGTGACCGAAAGCAACAGTCAGCAAGGATGTATACCTTCTAAATAAGTGTGTTTATCTGGGAGGGGTGCTGTTGGATAGATCACATGTGTTGTGATTCATTGTCAGCCATACTTTCTGCTGTTCAAGATGATGACTGGTAGATAATTAGTTATTAACGGTACTGCATTTTAATTTTAGAAAGCGCAAATACGCTTCTGAATTATAAAAATTAGTAAGAACGCTAAAGCACAAACAAAATATTTAGGTCCACAATTAGCGGATTTGCGCTTTAGCGGGCTGGTGCCCACCACTGGACGTTTCTTGCTAAGCGATAATGACACGACACTTCCTACACAATCACTCTGAGCCTGGAAACTCATCTGTTTAATGCAGTATCAAACTCAACTGGACCACCTATGCATGCGCTAGCAAAGAGATGGAGAAACCAGAATGGTTTTTCACCTTCAGAATGGGAATGTTGCTCTGTTCTGCCAGGAAGACGGCACGGTTGCAGAGTCCAGCAATTCTGGCAAGCATCGCCCAGGTGGCAGAGCTTCTGTCGAACGAGGTGCCGCTCTGGTTCTCCGTGGTGTCGGCCTCGTGGATCTGGTTGTCGAACCACATGTGGGCCACTGTCATTCTGTTCTGGGTCAGGGTGCCGGTCTTGTCTGAGCAGATGGTGGAAGTGGAGCCCAGCGTCTCCACGGCTTCCAGGTTCTTCACCAGGCAGTTCTTCTTGGCCATACGCTTGGCGGTCAGGGTCAGACACACCTGGAGGTGGATTTACCTGAATCAGTTAACAAGTAAGACCATTTTAGAAGAAAATAAACAAAAAAAGAAAACAGCCAGACTCACGGTGACAGTAGCCAGGAGACCTTCTGGCACGTTGGCGACAATGATACCAATCAGGAAAATGACGGCCTCCAGCCATCCATAACCAAGGATCAGGGACAGGATGAAGAAAGTAACACCAAGGAAGACAGCAACACCAGTGATGATGTGGATAAAATGCTCAATCTCTTTTGCGATGGGAGTTTTTCCACCTTCAAGACTAGAAGCCAAAGTAGCAATACGACCCATGACAGTACGATCACCGGTGTTGATGACAATTCCTCTGGCAGTTCCTGAAAAGAAAGAAATAATTTCAAAAGGGATAGGATCTATCTATCTATCTATCTATCTATCTATCTATCTATCTATCTATCTATCTATCTATCTATCTATCTATCTATCTAAAAATATATATATATAATCCATTTTTATTTGATTTCTTTTTCATTGAGTACATTTTAAAAGTTATAGCAGCCATTTACTGTCTCTTGTTATGTACAACTAAGAAAAAACTGCCTAATTCAAGGTAGAACTGAGGATTATAGTGGTAGATTAGTAGCCATTTGTTCTGTACCTTCAACACAGTTGGTGGAGAAGAAAGCAATGTTCCTGGTCTCCAAGGGGTTCTCGTTGGAGAACTCTGGGGAACGGGTCTGAGGTTCTGATTCACCAGTCAGTGAGGAGTTGTCCACCTGAGAATAAAGACAAAGTCACTGACTGATAAAAAAAAAAAGGGAGAAGGGAACGCAAGATAAAGAATGAGATGATGCATTTGGGACAGTAAAAACAAACAACCAATTAGCAGCCTTGGTAGCTCATTCAAAAATAGAAAAAAAAAACTTCAATTGATTTTTAATTTTAAACGCTGTCAATGTAGCTATCCATCCACATTCTGCTGTAAAGCCCAACTGTAATTTGTTACTTTTGTAATAATCTAAGCTGACAAAACACAAACATTATGACAAACTGTATAAGAAGGATAAAGAGGACTTAGATCAAAACTAGATACCGCATAGCGGTAACACAATGACCCCCGCATGCACAAATGCACCAGAACTCAGAAGTCTTTATTCCTAATAAATGTCAGGCTACTAGATGCATCCCAAAACCCAAAATTGTAGTGGTTTGGGTAGGGGTCTTTTTGTGTGTGTGTGTGTGGGGGGGGGGGGGGGGATTGGTTGACCTGATGGATAGCCCTTCATCAGAGCTAAACAACAAAAGAAATCTGAAGCTCCTATGTTTAATAGTTCTTGAGCTATAACCATTTTTGTATTTACAGATACACCTTTTTCAGATAAATTGGGAGTCCGGAGGGTGGGGGGGGCACTGATTGGTGGGCCTGATGGATAGAGCTTCATCAGAGCTAAACAACCAAAAAAATCGGAAGCTCCTATGTTGAACCATTTTGATTCCACTAAATTAAGTTTTGCCAACTTTAAGTTATAGAAAACAGCTAAAACCAACCAGATTGTGTCAGTCCCACCAGTCTTCATAAAGATGTGTGACAGAGACTGAGTGACTGTTGTCTTAGCGGTTAGCTGCTAGTGTTAGCTTTCACCAATTTTCACCTGTTTCACTTGTAATTTTCTTGACGTTGAGTGGTTTCATATTAGGCAAGCTATATTTTTATTTAGCGGGTTATGAGTCAGCTAAGCTAACTTTTTGGTTAGCTGAGCCCACCACTGAAAAGAACTACTGGTAGATACTGAAGTGTTGTTTCAACGTAACCAAGTAACTGTGATGCAGACCTTGCAGCCATGAGCAGAGATAATCCTGAGGTCAGCGGGGATCCTGTCTCCTCCTTTGACCTCCACCAAATCTCCAACTACCACTTCCTCAGCGTTGAGGTTCTTCTTCTCACCGTCACGGACAACTAGGGCTTGCTATAGAACCAAAGACAAAGTAGATTTAGATGTTTAAGTAAAATTCAAGGCATACTTAAACAAGAGAAGGGGTTTGTATATGTAAAAGCAACAACTCAAGCTTGTGAATGATGGAAACTTTCACCTGTGGGACCAGATTCTTAAAAGACTCCATGATCTTAGAGCTCTTGGCCTCTTGGTAGTAGGAGAAGCAGCCAGTGATGATGACGACAGCAGACAGCACAATACCCAAATACAACTACAGAGAAAGGAAAAAAAGGATAAGTCAACTGAAGGTACCAAGAAACAACAATATCTCATATCAGGGCTCCTTACGTTATCATTCGCAGGCTCGTCCTCAGAGGCAGCCTGAATACTGTAAGCGAGGAAGCAGAGGATTGCACCGATCCACAGCAGCATGGAGAAACCACCAAACAGCTGGACACAAGATCCGATAACATTCAGCTTTCTGACTGTTTCACTGCCCGACGCAACTAGAATTTCCATTTTTCACCATTTTCATATTGAAATTACGGCACACACGCCATGTAAAAGCCTTACCTGCTTGCAGAACTTCACCCATTCAGGTGTTGTGGGAGGAGGCGTCAAGGCATTGGGACCGTCTCGGGCCAGAATCTCTTTTGCTCTGGAAGAGGAAAGGCCCTACAAGGACGCAGATTGAACGAGGAGACTGTTTTAGCTGTTAATTTGGGAAAAATATACATGTAGTGGTCGGCTTGAGTAAATATTTTTACTTCTTCTTAATGCGGGAGAGAGTTTAGGTTTAAAGATAAAAACCAGAACAACCAGTTTTTAAAACAGTTCTTTACATCTGTCTTTGTTTATTAAAAACATGAAAGACACAGATGACATCCTTTCTGCTGATGAGTTAATGATTTATAAAGTGGTTACAGATGAATTAATAACTATTTATAAGCCAACTATAAGGGGAGCCTTATTGTAAAGTGGTACCATATGTAAGCATATGCTGCTGATCCACAATTAGTTGTAACATTAAACTTTAAAAGGAAAAAAATTGTATAGGTCTTCTGGACGGGTTCTTCTTTAATGAAACGTTTTGTCTCTCCTCCAAGAGACTTCTTCAGTCTGAGAGTTTCAGGCTCAGACTGAAGAAGTCTCTTGGAAGAGAGACAAAACGTTTCATTAAAGAAGAACCCGTCCAGAAGACCTATACAATTGTTTTCTTTTTTTTTACCTGGATTACTGAGATGCATCAGGACAACATTAAACTTTATTTGATAAACATATATTTTAACTGTAAAATAAAGACTGTAAAAATACTGTAGGCTGTTTAGTTTTGTAAAATTTTTAAAATATATTTTAACACGGAAGGAGCCATTTTATTTACACGCAAAGCATTCTGGGTAAATGATGACATCAACTAGGTCATCGGTGCGAGGCTGCTAGCGAGCTATATCCACCCTGAAGGTTAATCTTGGACAATATCTGATGATCGACTCTTTTAAATGAAACCAGAGAGCGTTGACAGAGAGGAGAAGGTAGAAAAGACTCAGCCTGTAACTGAAAATATGGATGGAGGACAACAGAGCTGCTTCATGGAAGAAGAACCTCAGCCGAGCCTGTTAGCCTTCGCGCTAGCCCTCACGCTATATTGCCTTATATGTATTAGCTCGGCGCTAGTGCAACAAACAAGCAAAACTGAGGTCCTCCATCCATATTTTCAGTTGCAGACTGAGTCATTTTTGTGTTCCTCTCTCTGTCATGTGGATGGAGGACCTCAGTGATGAGAGGAGAATGTGTAGTGCTGAGCTAATACATATATATGGTGAGAGCGTCGGGGCTAATGCTAAAGCTAACGGGCTAAGCTGAGGTTCTTCTTCCATGAAGCAGCTCTGTTGTCCTCCATCCATATTTTCAGTTCCAGGCTGAGTCATTTCTACCTTCTCCTCTCTGTCAACGCTCTCTGGTTTCATTTAAGAGTCGATCATCAGATATTGTCCAACATTAACCTTCAGGGTGGATATAGCTCGCTAGCAGCCTCACGATGACCTAGTTGATGTCATCATTTACCCAGAATGCTTTGCGTGTAAATAAAACGGCCCTGTCCGTGTAATATATTTTTAAACTTTTAATTTAAAAATTATAAAAACTAAACAGCCTACAGTATTTTTACAGTCTTTATTTTACACTTAATGTATATGTTTATCATATAAAGTCTAATGTTACAACTAATCGGGGATCCCTTTAAAGGCAGCATTGACCAAAAGGATGAATAGACTTCACTTAGGTGAGGACTAATGAGGATCCTTTTTAATAAACAAAAAAATAATTAATGGTCATGTGGACCTTGGTGAAAATGAATTTGCCACACCTGTTTAGAATCTACCATGTGAACTAAAATTGCACACAGGTTTACAGTAAAAACACAAGTTTCTATCTGTCTCCTCCCTCCTGAAGCAACCTATCCAACATGGGTTATCTGCTTCTTATTCAATCCAACTGATTTTGACTGATATCAGTTTACAAACCGACTTGGATTGTTTCACATCTCCTTTGTAGAATAACCTCTCACAAGATGGTGGATTAAAGTTGACAGGAAAACAAAAAGAGATGACAACTATGGGAAGAAGGAGTACACTAATCTGAAAATGACAGTATCTTCCTATAATTCCTATAATACATCCTGTGACAAATAACAGACCATGATCCAGTATGAGGTCAACTTGTTAGCAATGAGCAGTGTGTACACTGAGATGAGGTCAGAAAATTCAAGGTGATTTTGAATTTTTCTCCCTCAGGTAACGCCAACTAAACTAGTCGTTCTGTGTAAATGAAATCTCTGTTTTCGGAAACCTCGGACAGATCAGGCTTCAGCAGATAATCAGTAAGAGCATTTAAACTCCGTGGGACTGTTCTGGACTTTGCTCTGAATTGAGATTAAACAAAAAACAAAACAAAAAAACAAAAAAAACAAAAGAAACTGAGGAGTAACTGCTGAATTATCATCTTTTTTAAGATTGTCATTTTAAAGCATGAATTCACCCAAACTACAAAACACTTTCCATTTATTCCTCCTCGGCAATGCAAGGGTAGTACTGTTCTCCTGTGGGTTTGCTGACACTTTATACGCTGATAAGATTGTTGCCTCTTGATGATGCAATGAAATTCCCTTCCTGTACAGTACGTCTCCTTGCATTTTGACCTGAGCTTGTACTGCCAGATCCACATGTAGAGAGCTCACCCTGGATATGTCTGTCCCGTATTTTCTGTGGAGTTCATCCAATGTCAGCTTGTGATCGTCCTACGGGGAGAGCGAGAGAGAGAGAGAGAAAAGCAGAGAATGAGATTGACAGACATTGCGTCAAACAAGCTGAAATCCCTGTCATTTTCAAGCCGTGGATATTATCTCCTCTGAGGATTAAAGAATGTGCTGGCGTGTCCTCCAGGGAACATAAAAGACAATAAAGCAAAAAAAAAAAAAAAAACTCTCAGAGCTCATCAGGATTATGGATGCATGCAGGCCACGGTGACTTTAAGATTAGTCAAACGTTTGTGTAAAACTAGAAGGAACTGGTGATTGAAAACTGATGAGCTGCAATGAGCTCAGTTATGTCATGCAGTCAGTTTGATGCAAGCAAACACTACTTTCAGTCACATCAGTGATAGCTACCACACAGACTCTCTGACATTTTAGGAGACTTCAACACTCGCAGCTAAACACTAGCTATTAAATACCCACATTTAGTTATTATGTACTAGCAGCAACTTCATTTTTTGCAAGTTAAATAGGGAGATTTGAAATGCAAACCAAGCAACCAGCAAGGCTGACACATTCATGTGCCCACATTCTATTTTATTTTAAAAAAAAATAAAGGATTTTAAAAAAACGCCTACAGTGAGACACTGAAAAGAAATACTTTCAATATAAATGGATGACTGGTAATGGTATGACTCCCACCATTCACGCCTGTTGTACTGTGAAACAACAAAAACGTATTGTCCTCTTCATGAAACATCCCTAGAAGAGATTTTTTTCTTTTCGTTTCTGTGGTGGTATGTTGACACAAAAACATGAGCTCAGGCTGAAAACACCAATAAACCAACAACAGCCTCAATCTTACCTCCCTGTTCTTTTTTCTTTATGAAACAAAAAGATTGCTGAGTAAATGCTGAATTTAAAATGTACTGTTGAACATTTAAAGTTTCACAAATACCAGGGAAAAACTGTCAGCCTCACACAGTAAAACTATACAATCAGTCAAAAGTTTAAGTACACTTTTTTCATTTAATGTTTTTATGTTGTGGATTGGTACTGGGGTCATCCAGACTATAACAGAACACATAAAGAACCGGAAGGTCCTGGAACCGGAAGGTCACCGGTTCGATCCCCCGTCCAGCTGTCTCAGTTGTTGTGTCCTTGGGCAAGATACTTAACCCTCTCTGCCTCTGATGTGTGTCCCATCAGTGTATGAATGTGACTGGCACTGATTAGTCTCCATAGATCAGGGCTATTCAACTAGCAGCCCAAGTGACCAAAGTTAGGCCCACCAATTGGTTCATTCATCTCTTCAGCCCAAACCCCTGGTTTTCTACTTTAATTACTCTAAGTTCTTTTAGTTAAACATTGACATGTTTGGTTTCTACAGAAATGTCAGAATCTTGGCTAGAAGCTGGTAAAAACCATTTCTATAAACACTCAAGACAGTTAAAACTACAAGCAGTTGAAGATAAAGCTATGAAAGTGTAAATAAAATTGGTTTAAAATTTTGTCAAGTCAGCGATGTCAAAATATTATTTGTGTCAAATAGGAGGCAGAATGTGTTATTTTTGTTTTTGATTAAATGCAGCCAAATAAACTATTTCAAAGGTAACAGATCTTTGTAATACTTGGTTTATTTACATAATAACTTTAATTGCTGGATGTTTGGCCCCTCAGCTGTTGACCGGCAGTAACTGTGGCCCCCGGAGCGATTTAGTTGAATAGCCCTGCCATAGATGATTGTACATGTTAGCTTTGTAGGAGACCTAGAGTGCTGTGTGAATGGGTAAATGAGGACAGAGACCGTAGTGTGAAGTGCTTTGAGTGTCCTGGTTGGGTAGAAAGGTGCTATACAAGTACAGTTCATTTACCATTTATTCTTGGTCATGGATGTTATTTTGTTGTTCATGTCAGACATAGTTTTCCAAATAGAAAAGGAGCTAGTAGGCTCACTGATGTAGCCCCAAGTGTAAAGTTATGGTTAACATTTACTGAAAAAAAAAATAACACACTTTACGTTTGAGATAAGTAATAATTTTGGAGTATTGATTTAACCAATAAGAAATTATTGTCTTTATAACTGGATGTGTTGAGTCATTGAGTTCTTTACAAAGACAGTGTGTTATTGCATGGTTCTTTCTAATACCATCAGCGTTTGGAAACATGACAGGCCTGCATGACAAAAGAGCCACAGATAATCTATCACATGCACAAAAACTACAGCTGTTTTTTCAAATATCTTCTGAAGCCTGCAGGACATTCACACACTTCTTATTCCACACATTTTGATCATGTTTGGTTGGAGCTGTTGTCTGACTCAAACCAGAAAACGGCCTATATTTAGCATTTTGGTTCAGGCTTTGTCACATATGATCAAATCATTGGCTGCATGTTGTTGCTATGGGAGTAGCTCGTATTGTTTTTAGCTGGACTTTGATCATTGAGTTTAACTGTTTGAAGGGGCAATAATCATTAACGTGTCAAGCAACATTTTTCTCTAAAGACTCGTATACACTTTCTACTAATCTGCCACCGTTTAGTAGGTTGGGATTATTTAACTACAATTAAAAGTAAAGTTGCTGCTTCACCAATACTTAAATTAGCCAATAATGATATATCCTTTTGAATTATTGGAACATAAAAATAATCTGCGAACATAAACGGCACCTCAGAGGCCCGTTAAAGACCATGAAGCTGAAGATGTCTCTGTAGACAGGCGATAAGGTTGCTATGGCATTCAGGTGTCCTTCAGCGGCAGCAGGACTTTGAGATCAAGTTAAGATGGTCAAAGGACAATAACTATTAATATGTCACCAGGATGGGAGTTTTATTACCTAAATAACTTCAAATGTTATAAGCCTGCTGGGTGACATTGGCATTGGATGATTAAAAAAAGGTTTTTGTATAAAACTAATCAAGGTTTTTTTTTGTTTCCGGTGTAAAAAAGTTTAGTCAAACTGATCAGTCAAATGTACTTGCTGAAGTTTTAGGAGACATAAATGACCAACTTTAAAGCTCATCTTTTTCTAAAAGCTCACAAAACAGAAATTGATCCCAACGTGACCTCTTCGTTAGGCTCTTGGTAACCTGAGACGAAGGTGAGAATGGACTCTTCCACTTAGTGCGTTGACCTTGTGAAGAACACCAAGGTAGGTGAAAGGAGCAGCTAGTCGTCGCTTTGCAAAACTCTTCTCATTTCAATGAAAATAGCATTCTGTCTTTAAAAAAAACAAAAACTTAACGCATTCAAAAACTCTATGCTGCGAAATTCCTCATCTTTTCTCATTTAAAGAGTTGTTAACTTCACCTAAGATCTTCTTTGACCTTGGGGAAATTACCTTGGCACTGACAAAAAAAGCTGACTCGAGTGGAAATGAAGCATTTGTGTGTCCACTACTATGATCTACACACCCATCTAAACTTGACAGCGGGGAAAAACAGAAACAAATATAATCCAATGAAGAAAAAAAAAGCAATATCTATACATTGTTAGTAACAGAATGGCCTGTTCTACAGAGTTCCCTCCAACATTTTAGTGATAAAAACTGACTCAAACCAGCATATCTTAGGAGTTAATTACAGCTATGTAATCTTTAATAACATGGGGCAGCACATGCAGCAGAGCAAGTAACAATCTGTATGAAATGTGAGGCAGACAGCTTCATCTCATGCGACTATCCATGAGGTGTCTCAGCACACTGTAATTGCCATGACCAACAGTTGTGACAGAAGTTATCCGGCTTCAACTTCAGGGGAATGCAGTTTAAGTAAAAGACAGGGAGGTATTCACCATTCCTTTTTGAGTGTGTAAGGTATTTCGAACGCGTCACTCACCAGGTCAACTTCTTTTTTGAGTTCGTCCATATCCTTCTTGTCTTTGCCTTTCTTGTGTTTCTTGCCATGTTCGTCTGACGCAGCCAGTTGGTACTCCTCTTTCCCTTTCTGGATTGAAGACAGACAACACAAGCCTCTGAATAAGACTGAACATGCGGGAAGATTGCTCTGAGGCAGGGACGTGCAGAAAGTGGTGCCCTCGTTCACTGTTCAAACACGTCGTTTTTGGAACTTGTGTTAATCATTGTCGCAACATACACTCAATGCTACAGAAAGCTCGTGATCACAAAATTTCACAACTCCTCGTGGGAAGATTTAGAGAACGAGGCGTGAATGTGCCAGGCAAGCCACGGTTGGTAAACTGAACGCACATTTTTTTTTTCAGAGTAAAGCTCAGAAAGTGCAACGTGAAGCCCAAACCAGACCAGATCATGTGACAAAGTTCCAATACTTACTCCAAACCCCATGATTGTAGTGCAGGTCTGAGAGCGGTCAATCCAATTGTAAGTTTGTTTAAAACTTCCCCACTCCGCCTCTTTTTTTTCCCTCACGCACACACACACACACACACACTCAGCCCTGTTGTCTTCCTCCCTTCCAGAGCAGAGAAGATGCTTTGTTTGGCATTAGCATACCTTTATATCTACAGCTGGAGGCATACCTGCCCTTTGGGGGAGGGGCTAAGGGGAGAGGGAAGGCCAAACTCGACAGGTGAGTTGAAGGGTGTTTATTCAAACGGGGAGGTAATGTTCAAAAAAGGAGTACAAGCAAAAAAGAAAAAAGAAAAACAAAACAACGGGGACAAGTGAATGTTTCTCAACTTCCCTGTTCAGCCCTCATCCTTCCCTTAATTTTCTTCCCTAAATATCTGTCCTTTCTTTCACTTTGAATCATCGCTTCACTTATGACTTTTTTTTTTGCGTTTGAAATGAAGCCGGTTCACGGCTCCAGGAATACTTTTGCGCAGCCTCATGTCTCAGCTCGCATGTGCTTCGTTTACACTGCAAACAGGGACAATTGAGAAAAAGAAGTCGAGATAGCGAAGCTGTGAATGTATGATACAGAGATAAAAATACAGCTAAAGAGGTGAAAGTCCACTTGTGGAGGCGACTGATGATCCCGACTGATTGGGCTTGAATAACTCAGAGAAAAGAAGGTGAGAAGAAGCAGAAAACCGGCTCTTTTTTCCCCCTCCACATGAGAGTGAGAACAGCAGAACCAGGCTGGAAAAAGCTGTTACTCATAGCAAAGATAACGTGTGGAATGCAGAAGGAGTAATCCACTAAGCATTAAGCTAAGGTCAGTGTGTCCTGCTAAACAAAAAGACATTGATTCTTTCCCTTCAAAAACACATTCATATCATCAAATATTCCCACGGCTTCCTTAAGGATTAGTATTTATTAATAATTACTGAAAAGAGGAAATAAAAAGTCACGTTAAACTAATTTTTCTGGGTTCAGATCAAATTTCAGTGACTCTAGCTGCATTTTAATCGGTTTAGCTGCGATGAGAGGCCCCACCTCAGTGTTCCTGTGGTTAACAGAACAAAGCCATAAAGTTTAACTGGGAAGGTGTTTAAATGAATGATTAAGCAACATATTGCCCCTGAGACACCATACTACTACACTATGCCCTTGAACAGGTTAAACAAAAAGATCTGTTCACTGTCAAACAAGTTGGTACGGAAAACCGAAAAAGTTAAAAATACATAGCATTCGTAAGTCAGCAAGAGTAGGCACTGAAGAAAATACGTCTGCGTTGGTTTCACGGGCCTCTGCTCGAGCACAATGTCACACATTTAAGGTGGAGCTGGAAGGACACCGGTGACCCTGAAGAAAACCAAGAAGTGCTCTTCCTGTTCGCTGAAACTCACACGGAGGAAGCTTACCCTTGGTGGCGGGGAGGTGGGGGTCGGTTGTTTGGAGTAAACTCCCAACTGTTTGCACTCATTCGGCTATGAAGGAGTGTGGGAGGGGAGGTGATGTAAAAAATGAGACGTGAACGGGAGGAATGCTGTGAAGTAACAGGCGAGGAGGAATGAATGTAGGAGAAATCTGAAAACGGTTGAACAAAAAGTGACGATTGGAAGCCCTTTGGATGCTGATTCAGCATTCACATGGTTTCCTAATTTGTTTTTTTTTTTTCTGTAGATTTTTGCAGTCCAACTACTTCTGCATAATTACAAAACATACACCTCTTTCAGTAGATGGGTGATACAACATTTTGTTTTGGCAACTTTGATACTTTATTAAACTTTTAACTTGATTTCCAAACTATTTCCCTATAGAAAAACACTGAGGTCTTTAGAAGATCTGCTTGTTTTGGTCTTCTTTTGCTCCTAAAACTTTCAGCCTTTTGCAACATTTCAACTAGCCATGTGACATTTTCAGATTCAGACAGTAGATGTCAAAATTGAAACATGCTTCATGGCATAAAGCACTGATGACTCAACATAATAATGCTTTTAGCAACTCTTATGAAGTTCACAATGACACAAGAACACACCTATTCAATAATTCTCAGTTGTTCTTTCAACTGCTGGTTTGTTTTTTATGGCTAGACTTTTTTTTGGGAAATTTATGCTCTCTTAACTCCAACATACAAAAGATGCAATTTTGTCTTCAATAAAACCAAACTGCAAAATACGAATAAGCGTAAGTGGCTTCCTTTGTGTGTTTATGTGTCTGACAGGATTTAAGTCCCTGTAATTACAGCTGTATAGGTGCTTGTTTACCCTAAAACAATAGTTTTTCACGTATAAACAGCGTGGGAGCTGAGGACGTAAAACATGGCCTTTGCAATGTGACCGAAGCAGTGAGTACAAGGAGTAATAGTCATATTATTAGGTGAAACATTACAAGCAAGTGACACGTTGTTGATGTCATCTCATAGTCAGATGAGTGTAAGATTTAAAACTAGTAGTACAAGATGTTGAGGCGGATTCTTTTTTTTTTTTTTTACTAAAATTGATGTGAAGGTCAAAAACCCACAAGAAAATCTCCTAAAACATCTGCAACAAGGGCTGAAATCATAAATATGGTTGTAACTACCACAAATCCACAACTCAACTAAAACCTTATTTTTAGATTATGCTCATGGCACAGTAGCGCAATGTGTTCATAGTTTCCACAGTCTGTCAAAAAGGCCTTTCAAACAGTAACATTTGAAATTTCCTTTGGCCTGTTAAAAAGTTCACACCAGAGTACATTGTAAATGTTTCACCATGGTGCAGCTTGGCCCTGTGCTACTTGAACTGGTATGAACTTTGTTCCAAGTGTGACGTTGAGGCATTTAAAATGTTTAATAATCAAACCGGACGTTTTGGGATTCATAAATGTTGCCGATTGATTGTGGCTAATCAGGGAATATGGGAGGGAAATCAGGATAATACAATCATGGCACTGACCATCAAGCTAATGCGGTCTAATATATTACTCAAATTTAAGATGTGACAAAGCCACTCATTAAAAATCATTGTAATATAAGCTAAAGGGGTTGATTGCTAATGATGACGCTAAAATACTTTCCTTGAGAAACTATGGTGTATGGCCATTAGTCTAATGGTGCGTTCACACCGAACGCGATTTCAGCGTCAGGAGCAGCAGGTTTACATACAAAGTCTATGGTGGACGCGCTTCAAGCAACGTCGGGAAATTCTGCGGCGCCTCAAGCGCGATTAGAGCAGCGCAATTGTCCTGCGTCTGACCTCAAAGTGCACAAGCTTCAAACTTCAGCGTTGGCTGCGATTTTGACGCTGAAATCGCGTTCGGTGTGAACGCACCATAAATGTTTGATATACTCTTCTTTGCAGCCAATATTTTAGAACATTAAAACAGAACACATATCGGATGTGTATGTCTGATTTAAATCCAGCTATTTTGATTATTCCTGTTTTAGTTGCCAGTGAAATTTGAGTTCATGAGATGAAAATTTGCCTCCTAAAGTTGACTCCTATTCTTCTAGACAGGTCTGAAAAGACAACCACTGATCTCTTAGGATGTATTCACACCAGGAAAGTTCTTTGGTCCGCTTGTTTGGTCCGGACCAAAAGTGGACTTTATTTTTTTCATTTGGTGCGGTTTTCTTTCACATTGTGCTTTTTTTGCAAATGAACTATAACGTAAACAAAGCCACGAGGGTGACGATCATTGCTCCCATTAGACAGAAAGGACGGGGGCGGGACTGAGAGCTCAGACCTAGAAAAAAACATGGAAGTCCTGCATGCTGCAGTTCTGATGCGCACATTTGTGCTGTTAGTTAGCCTGGCTCTTGCCTTACGCAGCTCCGCTCAATTCTAGTTTCCCTTCACTGCTCCGTCTGGGACTTCTCCCATAGACAAGGATTTCGCTGGCAGATTTTTAGCCGGGCCAATCAGAGAACAGAACGTCGATGTTCTGCGCAGTGTCTGCTAGTTATTTTAGCATACGGCCGTGGAAGAAGTGAATGAAGCCAGTCTGTGTTGATAAGGCTTCCAAATTAAATTAAATTTGTCTGACAAAGCAGCAGCTCTCATTTACAGTCGTCTCGTTTGGCTCGGTACTTCTCTGCTCTCAGTAGGGTTTTTTACAGCGCACGCAATTTCCTGTTAGCTTCTTAGCTTAGCCTCCTTCACAGTGACATACAGGTGCTGGTCATAAAATTAGAATATCATGAAAAAGTAGATTTATTTCAGTAATTCCATTTAAAAAGTGAAACTTGTATATTATATTCATACATTACATACAAACTCATATATTTCAAATGTTTATTTTGTTTAATTTTGATGATTACAAATGACAACAAATGAAAATCTCAAATTCAGCATATCAGAAAATTAGAATATTACTGAAGACCAATAAAAACAAAGGATTTATAGAAATGTTGGCCAACTGAAAAGTATGAACATGAAAAGTATGAGCATGTACAGCACTCAGTATTTAGTTGGGGCTCCTTTGGCCTGTATTACTGCAGCAATGCGGCGTGGCATGGAGTCGATCAGTCTGTGGCACGGCTCAGGTGTTATGATAGCCCAGGTTGCTCTAATAGTGGCTTTTAGCTCTTCTGAATTGTTGGGTCTGGTGTATTGCATCTTCTTCTTCACAATACCCCATAGATTTTCTATGGGGTTAAGGTCAGGAGAGTTTGCTGGCCAATTAAGAACAGGGATACCATGGTCCTTCAACCAGGTACTGGTAGCTTTGGCACTGTGTGCAGGTGCCAAGTCCTGTTGGAAAATGAAATCTGCATCTCCAAAAAGTTGGTCAGCAGCAGGAAGCATGAAGTGCTCTAAAACTTCCTGGTATGTGGCTGCGTTGACCCTGGACCTCAGAAAACACAATGGACCAACACCAGCAGATGACATGGCACCCCAAACCATCACTGACTGTGGAAACTTTACACTGGACTTCAAGCAACGTGGATGAAGTGCCTCTCTTCTTTTCCTCCAGACTCTAGGACCTTGATTTCCAAAGGAAATGCAAAATTTACTTTCATCAGAGAACATGACTTTGGACCACTCACCAGCAGTCCAGTCCTGTTTCTCTGTAGCCCAGGCAAGACGCTTCTGACGCTGTCTGTGGTTCAAGAGTGGCTTGACACAAGGAATGCGACAGCAGAAACCCATGTCT